TATTTTTTTTTTTTTTTGTTTAATCTATATGTTTTATACAGTTTAGACATTACTGTTGATACTTTTGGTAATCAGTTGTATGATACAGATCGATCAGGCTGCATTAGCAAGGAAGAAGTTGCGTCTATGTTGAGAGTAATATAGTTTCCCCTTTTTATTTATAGAAATTTAATAATACTTTGTACTAATTACTTAATTGATAAATTAATATTTGTAGGCACTTCCTGAAAACTGCCTTCCAATTAATATAACAGAACCAGGAAAACTTGACGAGATATTTGATTTAATGGATGCAAACAGTGATGGTAAAGTCACATTTGATGAGTTTAAAGCTGCTATGCAAAGAGATAGTTCCCTTCAAGATGTAGTCCTCTCCTCTCTTCGTCCCAATTAATTAATTCCTTTATTGAATTTGTCCTCTTTTAATTTGTAGCACACTAATTGTTTGAATCTCTTAACTTTCTATGACAATGATTTATTATTCTTATGGTACGTATCTTTTCTTTATCATTATCAAATTAAATAGTTTATATCCTTAATTACAACTCCATAATTGTATCGTTTTTCATAAATTGGAAGAAACTCTTGGAACTCTAGATGTGTCTTTCACTCTTTTGGCTTTTTAGGGAGTCGCTATTTTCAATTGTAGAAGGGAAATTTTTGTATTGCAATTTTATATTTTAGAGGGAGATGTATTTGAACACATAATTTTATAATTGTAATGAGTTTAATAGAAAATATTAAAAGATTGAATCGTCAAATTTAAATCTTGAACTCCCCTTTGGCTACATGAGTGATTATATTTGTTAAATTAGAAGTGAGGTCTAAATGAATAACCTTTATATTAACATGCAAAATGAACTAATATATTGGTTTTAAGTTTTGAAATGATGTTTTATTACTTATTTGATTAGGCTTCGTATACAACAAAAATATAATAAATACGGTATTATTTCACAAGTGGAGTTTGAGGAGGATAATATGTTACCCCTATCTTGTGAAGGTAGAAAGGATGTTTCTGATAAACCCTTGACTCAAGGAACATTAAAAATAAAGCAACAAACAATAGCAACAAAGTAATAAAATAACGAAAGTGAATGATACAACATCTAATAATAAAGAACTAGGAATAAGAAAATAGAAGAATAGTACTAGTACTACTAGTAAGCCTAGGAGAATCTCACGACCTGTTAACCTTCAACCCAATTCTCGACCATCACGACCCAAAACCAACCCGGTCATGATGGTGCCTATCATGGAACTAGGCCAACCGATACAAACCCCAAACCAATCAATATTATCACTCTTAGGATAAGGTCAAATCTATTTAACAATAAACCTTTGTAAAGTGTTTAAAACAAAAACAACAATGCAGAAAGAAAAGTCCGACATCGGGGTGTCACTAGTCATGAGCATCTACTATATCTGTCTGACAACCACAAGACCAACATGGTCGGAAAAATCACAGAATACACTAAGGGAGAATAAGGAGGGAGAAAAGCAGCGCTGCTATCGCCAGACAGCTACCTTGCTAACTCCGATGAACTTGCCACTGAGACATCAACACCCGCCACCGGGTTCAGACATACCTGAATCTGCACACAAGGTGCAGGGAGTAATGTGATTACGCCAACTCAGTAAGTAATAAAAGTAAATAGAGACTGAGCGGTAGGAAACAAATAAGATCCACACCATGATAAACTTAGTAAGCACAACATGCTTTTAATCAGAGTAGGAGTCAAATAATCTCATTTAAAATCCAGTTTTTTTGGTAAAAATCACTTGAAGATGCTTTCCAACAGTTTCAATAGAGGTTCAATGCAGTTTACAGTAAAAGTAATGAAGATCATAATTGGCTCCTCAGGCAAAATATAGTTTGTATACAGCCCCTTGGGCAGAACCTCTCGATCACTTCTATACATCTCATAACTTAAAAAAATCTCAGCAGAAATAACAAAGCCAAATCAGTGAATAAATTCCGAATATCTCGTAAAAATTCCAGTTTCAATGAAAGTTGTTTAAAAATATTTGTTCAACATTTCAACAGAGACTCAATATAAAGAGGAGTGAAAATAGTAATTTCGTAAAAACAAGCCCCTCGGGCAAGCCTCTCAGTCACTCGAGACTCAACTCTCATCAATCAGCACTCACACCCAATAGGTACCTTATAATAACCGCTGCGGCGTGCAACCCGATCCATAAATGTATAGTCAACTGCGCGCAGACTCCGGAGGGGCTCCTACAGCCCAAGCGCTATATCGATGTGGGCGTGCAACTCGATCCATATATATATCACTGCGGCGTGCAACCCGATCCATAAATATATAATTCTCACAACCAGTCCCTCGGCCCTTCTCAGTCATCAACCTTATAAACCACTCGGGCTATCATTAAAATAGGGTGCTCAGCCTAAAATATTATTTTTATGCATAAAAAGAGTATTAAATACTGAGTTATGAAATCAATAAAAATATAACATGACTGAGTACAGATCTTAAGTTGAAACAGTGAGGAAATAATAAGGAAAAGCCCCTAAGGGTCCAAACAACTTGGCACGAGACCCAAATATGGTATTCAGCCCAAAACATAGTAATATTTTTTCAAAACACAAGTGTATCAAATAGTTTTCAGTTAAATACGCAACTTAAGAGTCGCTACGGGACGGACCAAGTTACAATCCCCAATGGCGTATGCCCCCACGCTCGTCATCTAGCGTGTGCGTCACCTCAATATAGTGAAATGAAGTGATCTGGGGTTTCATACCCTCAGGACAAGATTTACAATCGTTACTTACCTCAAACCGGACGAGAATCTACTCCACAATGCCCTTGCCTCTCGACTCGGCCTTAAATCATCCCGAATCTATCCAATATCAGAATTATAACATCAATACAAGACAAAGAGACAAAGTCCACGCGAAAATTATCAAATTAAACTCAAAATTCCGAAATTGGTCAAACCCGACCCCCGGATCCACGTCTCGGAATCCGATAAAAATTACAACACTAGAATCCTTGTCCTCTTATGAGTTTATACATAGCAAAAACATCAAAATCGAACCTCTAATGGCCCCTCAAATCCCCAATTTTAACTCTCCAATTTCAAGCCCTAATTTCCCAATTTTTCTCCCCTAATCTCTTCAATTCCCATATTTAATCAACTGAAATTCACCATAGATACGAGTATTAAGTTCAAAAAGCTTACCTCAACAGGAGTCCCCTTGATTTCCTCTTCAAAACCCTCCAAAAGCTTCAATCCCGACTTCATAAATGGTGGAATGGGCTAAATTTCGCAAAGGGAAACTTATATACTTTCTGCCCATTAATTTCCGCATCTGCGGACAAAATTTCGCACCTGTGGGATGCTTCTGTGCCCAAAAATCTACACTTGCGGAGTCCACTTATCCCTTCAGACATCACACCTGCGACCCAGGTCTTGCACTTGCGGTCTCACAGATGCGGTCAAGATCTTCGCTTTTGCGACCAACACTGCTTCTGCGGTCTTCTTTACACTCCTGTGACTCACACCTGCGGTCCCTAATCCGCAGGTAGGGTTATGACAGACAACAGCAGCTGAAGCTGCTCAATTCCAATTCCCATCTTTTCGAAAACCTTCAGAATATGTCCCGAGGCCTCCGAGACCTCAACGAAAAATATGAACAAGTCACATATCATCATTCAAACTTATACCAACCCTCGGAATACTCAAAACGACATCGAAACACCAAATCACCCTCTGATTTAAGCCTAAGGATTTCAAAAACTTTTGAATTCCGCAACCGATCCAAAAACCTATCAAGCCTCATCCGAATGACCTGAAATTTTGCACACACATTATAAATGATATAATGAACCTACTCCAATTTCCGGAATCCCATTCCGACCCCGGCATCAAGATTTCCACTGCCGACCGAAAAATGCCAAATTTTCAATTTCGCCAATTCAAGCCTAAATCTACCACGGACCTCCAAAAGACATTCTGAACACACTCCTAAGTCCAAAATCACCCGACGGAGCTAACCAAATCATAAAAATCCAAATCCTATATCGAATACCGAGAAGTCAAGACTGGGTCAAACATTTCAAATTTAAAGCTTCAAGCTGAGAACCATTCTTCCATATCTATCCAGATTAACCTGCAAACCACAACCGATGATTTACATAAGTCATAATACATCATACATGGCTAGCCATGCCCGAGAACTGGCGAGCGAAGTTCAAATTCTCAAAATGACTGATCAGGTCGTTACATCGACCTTCACACTTCATATCAGGGGTCATGTCCTCGGTAAGTTGAAGCAACGATATCTCCCGCCTAATCATCTCTCCTAAGTAATTCTTTGGCCTACCCCTACCCTTCCTCAAACCTGCCACAATCAACCTCTCATATCTCCTAATTGAGACATCTATGTCTCTCATTTTCACATACCTGAACTATCTCAGCCTCAATTTGTGCAACTAGCTTGTCCTCCACAGAAGACGCTCTCACCTTGTCCTTTATAGCTTCGTTCATAATCTTGTCTTTTCTAATATGCTTACACAACCATCTGAACATTCTCATTCCAACTACTTTCATCTTCTGGACACAAGGCATGTTGACGGGTCAACACCTAGTCCCATACAACAATTAGGCTTCATATAAAACATCTTATTAAGAGTAAAAGTATTAAGATGTATAGCGTTGATGGACTTTTTTTTTTACAGAGTTACAGAGAGCAAGTGACGGGAGCAAAATGGCTTAGGGGAAAGTAATAATGAAATTACGAATATCGCTATGGAGCTAATTATTAAAAATCAGAATATCAAGAAGAGAATATATTTTGTTCAAACTTTAAAACGAGTAAATGTTCATGGGCTTTAGGTTGAAAAAAGAAAACAAAATAATAATAATATTACGTATTATTATTATTTACTCTTATTATTATTAGTTTCTCGGCACGTGCGTTGCACGTATATACCGAGTCGTGGAGTACACATTTTATAAAATAATATCAGTATTATTAAAATAAAGATCTGAGTAATTAATAATACACGAAAGAATAAAGTACAAGAAATTCAATACTCACTTGGCAAGAAATACACACAAGGATTTAAAGAAATTAAGAAACCAATATGTTTTAGCAATAAAACCAGTATGTCCAGACTAATTTTATCAACAAAGTATTCCAATTCACCTTGCAAATCAAGAATTAATATTTTGTGCGGTAAAGGAAATACAGAAGGTTGACCAAGCATTCATTTAGCCCAAGTATCTCTACAATATACATCAAGTTGAACACTCTTATAATAGAGCCGAGCATATCCAAAATCGAAAAGGTCAACTCTCTAAATGAAGTAGCAACTATTTAGCTCAAAGGAAGGCCATCATCATATGTTTGAATCAAAGAAACTAATAAATCTAAAGATTAATCCGTCTTCGGCTTCGATTCGTTACGCTCAGAAGCTCCAACAAGCCCTAAAGTCTCTTGCCGCCTAAAACTCTGTCAAGAGAGCGCTGCTTTACGTTTG